TATTAGTACCTTCTAGGCTAATGACATATATATATATATATATATATATATATATTTAACTGAAATTTTAACATCTCCATCCGCTTAGTATTTCAATTTAGCTTCTTTTTTTTCTGCAACTCAAAGGTAAATTAGATTCTAGTAATTTGATAAAAATAACATTAAACAAAGCCAAAATTAATAATATATTTCATGTATTTGTTGAATTATGCACAAAGCTACACAAGGGGTATCTGAACTAGCTATCCCTAATTTAGAAGTGATGGGTTAGAGAGAAGGCAGCTGATCAACACCACCCACTACCAACTCTTGGGCTATATCTGAACTAGCTATCCCTAATTTAGAAGTGATGGGTTAGAGAGAAGGCAGCTGATCAACACTACCCACTACCAACTCTTGGGCTGCACTGTACCAAGGAAACGTTGAATAGACCATCACATTATATTGGCCCACAGCTAAAAAGGAAAGTTTATTCAGTGAGAGATTTGAACTCGCAACTTGAAGATTACAGATTGAGTGCCATACTCACTAGGCCATGCCAGACCCCACAGACAAAATACTCTACAACTATTGAACAACTTTGCGACAAATTGTTGATAAAAATTTCATTTACAACTCTCCCTCTTTCACAAAATTAAAAATAAAATTTCTCCCGTAGTTCAATTAAAAGGGCTTTCTTTATATGAAACTATTACATTTATCAAGGAAATAAGTTCACAGTAGTTTTAAAACAAATGCTCCAAACTTTCTGTTAACCTTAAAAAAATAGTTATACTGAGAAAATACTGTTTACTAACTTAACACAGTTCATTGTTACCAAACAAAAACATCTCTGAAATAGAAGTTGTGAAGAAATTTACCTTAAAGGCATATTTTCTTGTTATTTTATCATTAGCAGAGCAAGGTGAAATCCTATAACTGGGGAGAATGACTGACCCAAGAAGTTTGTTTTCTTCAGAATCTAAGGAAAGAAAAATAAGTATACAAAGTAGTAGCTATTAAGAAAAAATATAATCGTATCTAATCTTCATTCTATTATAAGTTACAGCTTTTACAGTAAAGAAGATTTGATTTCAGAACAGGTACAACATTTCAATCACTGGTGCGATCATTCCGAAGTGCGGAGTAATTTGTTGAAAATAGCATTTAACAAAGACAAAATTGATCTATATTTCCCCAGACATTCCTAATCTTATGCAACTATCTCTCATAACACACTCCATGTTTTTTTATAGTTATTCACTTTTAGTTTCTTTTTCTGTTCAGCCATAAATAAATAATTGTGAATTCATGCGAATTGATACGAACATACATAAGTAACTACTATCAATTCTAGAATTTAAATACATTGTTAGATTTTTGAGTTAAATACTACAATTTTCTTTACCGTTAAAACTTTGTACTTGAGAATGATCTCACATTTTTATTTAAGGATCCAAAGGAAAAAACTGGCTAATCTAATATACCAATGGTGGTTAATACAAATAACAAAAATATAGCAATACTTGTCGAAAACGGAGCAAATAAGGAAAAAACTGGCTAATCTAATATACCAATGGTGGTTAATACAAATAACAAAAATATAGCAATACTTGTCGAAAACGGAGCAAATAAGGAAAAAACTGGCTAATCTAATATACCAATGGTGGTTAATACAAATAACAAAAATATAGCAATACTTGTTGAAAACGGAGCAAATTAACACATAGAATATTCAGTACCCACGCTTCTAAAACAACAGCAAATAATGTGATGTGTCATTATTAATATACATAAAAACACTCAAATCCAAACTGTTTAATGTATCATGGTTAGTAAATATAGATACACTCACGTTCAACCCATATATATACACACACACACACACACAGACACTCAAGTCCAGTCCACATTTACTGTATCACTGTCAACATATATACACACAGACACTAACATCCATCCCACATTTTAATGTTTTACAGTTAGCACACGTACAGTAAATGTGGGTCAGACTTCAGTGTATCGCTGTTAACATATATATATATATATTCAAATCTTTATTACCAATTTTCAGTTTTAACTTGTTTGATATTAATTAACATATTTTGTATGATACATTATTTTATTGACTGAAGCATAAAAAGTGGCAAAGGTTTAGCAGTGACCTAGGACTTCGTCTTTATCACACTACGTATAGTGATTTTTGTCAGCAGTATTTTTGGTTGAGATCAATCTGTATATTTAACAAACAATAAGTTCTTTTATTTGTTTTAATACAAAACTTAATATATGTACACTCAACGTAGGAAGCCTAAAAACGCTGATTTCATGGATGAATGCCATGATGAATAGGTTAGATACATAGCATCCAAAAACCATCATAGAACTCACAAATAGGTAAATGATTGAAAAAATACAACCGTTGTTTTGTAACCTTTAGGAATTCGGTAAAATTAAAATATACATAATGCATGTTACACTGTCATGAAAACCAAGCAGTTCAATGCAGAGTATAAATGTAAAAGAAATTCTGGTGGTGAGCACTGTGTAGCACAAAATTACATATTTTTATTAGAGAGCGTGGAAGCCAAGAGAGCGTTATAAGTACCGTGTAACACAAAAATATATATTTTTGTGGGAAAACTATGGGAGCAAAGAAAACATCACAAGCACTGGGTAACATAAAATTACATATTTTTCATCAGGAAACATGGAAGCCTTCTAGTAGAAGATGAAACACTCCTATGAATAGTTTTGAAAACTGAATGCATGAGAACATTTTACTCAAATAAGTATTAAACTAGTAGCTTACACGTGAAAGTTTTCTAACGAGACCCACATTTATTTCTCATCAATAGTGAAGTGATGATTTGTATAAGAGTATTACGACCTGGCTTCAGTAAAAAAAAAAATTGATAAGACTAAAATGTATTGCTTACTCTCATTATTTTAATAACCTAAACAGCTTAATGAATTTTCTTGTTGATTTAGTTTTTGGAATATAAAACTACTTATCTTGTAAGATTTCATGACTGCTGTAATACCTTGTCTGCTACTTCTTGAAACATATAAAATTAGAAGTTTCTTTTGTATATTTGGAACACGAAACTTCATTACAATTAGTTATTTTCTTTGTGAAAAGTTACTTTGTTACTTCACCTCTGTAATAAAACAAGCAGTAGTCCGTCAAGACAAACCATCTTCTCCTCCATTGTCTCAACGCTCCTCCTTCCAACCTGAAAAGCCAACCTTTTAGTGTAACTTGGGATTGACTGTCTCGTTGTATATTTGGTGGTCTGAAAGTAGATCAACTTGATGTACATATAAACTTTGCATAATTCATTAAAACTTACAGTCAGAAGAACTTACATACTTAAAATTATATTACACAAATTGTACAAATATATATATATATATACACACTATCCTCTGTCTCTACTGATATAACAAGAAGTTATTTTACAACATACTGGTTTTAAGCCTAAAAGCACATCAAGCATGTACAGAGATCAAACTGGTGTTCTATTTTAACAAATATTAAAGTTTAAGTTATGGTCAACCTTTTCTTTTACAAAAACAAACCTGCCAACAAAAAAGCCAGACATAAAAACAATTAATGAAATGACGAAACTTGGTAGTTAACTACTCAAGAAGCACACCCTAAAGTTAACAAATATACTATTTGAGCACAGGTGTTCAAACAGGTGGTAATGGTTTTTACACTTTTACAAACAGCAGAAATAAAAAGAGAAAACAACTTTGTTCTAGTTGCATGGAAGTCTTTTTTCTTATTGATTTATTAATATTAAACTTCTGATCAAAAGTAAGTTAGCCACACAAATCAAAATCAAAAAGTAACTTATAAATGAATGAAGCTATTTTTATTTGGCAAACTAATAAGTACATAATTTCACGAGTCAATACACAATAACTTAAACCAGGGATAGAAATAATGAAATAAAATTACTTTCCCTCAAGGGAAAGCTACCAGAATATGAGAATGTAAAATTTCAATCCCTGTAAACTTATAATGATTAGAATATATTAACTAATTAGATAGATACCCTGGTATTGTCAGTATTTTCAGTCATAATTACATTTTTTATTTCTTTTATATCTATAAAATATTACTTTTTTCCCTCTATAAACACAGTTTTATGGAATCAACATGTGAATAATTCTGGGAAGGTACGGGGTGCGTAATACATATTATTGGTTATACAATAAACACACAGAATTATTCACATGTTGATTCCATAAAACGAAGGTACGGGGTGCATAATACATTTTTAAGTAGGATCAAAAGATGACAAATCCTTATTATAAATAAGTCATCAGATGCTTTTTAAGTAGAATCAAAAGATGATAAATCCTTATTATAAACAAGTC